TTTTTCAATTTTAATATCGCGTTAGAAAGCTTGTCTTTTTGGCTAAAAAATCGCCATAGAACATTTTGACGTACTCTCTAAATTTGAATCAGCGACTTTTCGCTGATTCAAATTTAGAGAGTAGGTTGCACTCAAAAATTTCTACAACCCTTTTCCCAAAGGACCACATTTTGTCATATTTGCAAAAACGTGGGGTGAGGCGGCCAACTATTTTAATAGTTAAAAAAACATAACTTAAAGTTAAAATTAGTGAAACATAACAAGGGACTTGCACTTAACTTACTTTTATTTTGTTAGTAAACTTAAAAAATTTACATTTGAATAATATTATAATAATAACATTAATTAAATTCAATAAATTTAACATTTTAAGGAAATATAAATTTGTTATTCTTAAAAAATGGTTTATAAAATTCAATGTTAAGTTTAAAATTAGAGGTGTGCATTTAATCGAGTCGAACCGAACATTAATCGACTCGACAACAGAAAATTCGAATCGGAGATAATTCGATTCGAACTGCCAATTCGAAATTCGAAGGTTCGAATTGCTCAACTCGACTCGGTTAACTTTCGATTCGAATCGGCCGATTCGAAATTCGAAGGTTCGAATTTCGAATTGGCAGTTCGAATCGAATTTTCTCTCGATTCGAATTCGAAACTTCGAATTTCGAATTGGCCGATTCGAATCGAAAGGTAACCGAATCGAGTTGAGCAATTCGAAATTCGAACCTTCCAATTTCGAATTGGCAGTTCGAATCGAATTTTCTCTCGATTCGAATTTTGCACACCTCTATTTAAAATACATCGGAGTAGGAAAAAATAGAAAAAATCAAAAGCGTATAAAAAACAAAATTTGTTTGTTAATAATTTTCCATACGCAAAAGTCAAACTTCAGATGTGGACAAACAGAATGAATGAATTATTGATTATTATATTTAATAATAAGTAATATTATAATTAATTATTGCATTTTTTTACTTAAGTAATTCATATTTGGTACAAATAATTATTTATTTGATGCTATAAAATAAAATATTTATGTTCAGTAAATATTTACTTATCTCAAATAAATAAAAACAAATAATATTATAAATACAACCGAGCGAGCGTTAGCGAGTGAGGATATGTTGCTAGTATTAGTATTATATTATTACTATTTTTGTATAAGCATTCAAAAGGATTAAAATTGTTAACTTTTCAACTACTGTCGCGGAATTCAGAAGCATTGGACAGAAATGGTATTCAAAAGAAAAGTATTTTTTTAATACTTTTTACTCTTTGCTTTCTTACTAGGTACACATAATTATTCTGTCAAAGTTTTTTGTGCCTTGAAGTTTGTATATGATAATATTTTGTTTATGGCGTCACGAAATAACGTCAGGCAAATTACTACACTCGTTTATGTCGTAAATTACATGTTATATTTTTTCGTAAGGGAAGTAATCATCTAGAAACAATTCCTATAATTTTGGTCTTTATATACCTTGATTATTTTTTCGGGGTGAGACTTAAAATTCGAAAACATCACCTAAGTAAAAACCACCCTAATCTATAAGTAATAAACTAGAAACAATTTCTTTAATTTTGGTCTAATACTGGCAGTCAGTTTTTGTCAATTGAAAAAGGTGGCAGTTGAGAATGAAGTATACAAGAATATGTTTGTTTTGTTGTGTTTTGTGGAAGGAAATTTTCACAATACATTCAACAATTAGTCTAGAAAAACCTGGAAAAACAGATTACTTCAATGGGCTTGTGAATTATCTGAAATACGAATTTAAAGTATTTCAGGTTGTGTTTATTCTTGAAGATGAATTGGATAACATAGACCCAATGATGAATTCCCTAATAAAAGAAATCAATCAACATTTTCCATTATTCATCACCAACTATGATAGAGTTTTCAACTGGTGGCAAAGGTAAATAAGTTAAAAAATCGCCTAATTAATTTTGAGATAAAAATTTCTGATTACAATAAATAAAATTATATATTAAAATTCGTATTCAAAAAACAAAGATAAAAAGTCTGCAAATCAAATTTTTGAGAATGCAAAAAATTATTTACATATTCTTACAAAATTTCAATAATATTTAATTTTACTTTTCTCCTTTTTAGAATCTATAAAAAAAATTTTGATGGTGAAATGAGTTTTAGAAAAACAACTTTATTTGTTTTCCAAACAAACAATGATATTACAATGAAACTAAGTATAGATAAACTAAATACTATAAATTACCATGTACAATCAGATAAATCGAGATGTTTAATCATGAATTCTTTTAATTCATCTCATCAGTATCTTAATAGAATCTTGCATTATTTTTGGGAGATAAAGTTTTTGGACATTACAATTATGACGTACGATCAAAATCATCAACTGACACCTTTTTTGAGTCATATAAATCCATTTATTAAAACCTTCACTGCTCAGGAAATAACTTCTAAAATTCAATGGTTTCCGAATAAAATAGACGATCTAAAAGGACAAAAAATGGACTTTCATTTCATTTCTCTATGTGATGAAAATTATCTTCAGAAAAACCGATGGATGGAAGAAAGAATTACACAAATTTTTGCTAAAGTGATGAAATGTGAACTTGCACTAAAAAAATCATATGATTATGGACCACAATTAATTTTTAATTTACGTACTGCCAACATAAATAATGATTATTCACAAATTTTACGAATTCAAAAAATTGATGCGATTAAAGCTATAATTCCAAGAAAAACAAAGATTACAAAAAAATTTGTATTTTCACCAGAACTTTTATACATGATTTTGGGAACAATTGTCATGATTGGCATTATTTTACTAACAGCATTTTTCATGAAATTTAACAGGGAAACATGGCAAACTTTAAACATCAGTCAAATATTCATTGGAATGCCTGCAAATAATGAACCAAATAATTGGTTAGAAAGAATAGTTTTTGGATCGTTATTAATGACATGTACTGTTTACACAGGTTATATTTATTCTGTAATTTTGGATATCGGTCTACAGTCGGAACCCGAAATTTCAACTTTGGAAGAATTGGCTCATTCGTCTTTGATACCGCAAATGAATGTTGCAACTTTACATCAAATAAAAGAAACGAATTTTCCTTCTTATATGAAAAAACTGTTGGATAAAAGTGAATATATGGACTATTATAAACCGTTGTGGGGAAAAAACTGTTTAGAATACTTAGCAAAGTATAAAAATATAAGTTGCATTCTTCCTAATGCTGAAAGTCATATTAATGCATATTCATTGTCAAACGAAGACAAGTTAGATGTTAAAATATTGCCAGAAATTGTTGCCTATCATTTTGTCTTCTGGACAACACTTGAAAATCCACCTTTTACAGATTTCTCGAGTAAAATAATTCAAAGAGCTATAGAATTTGGGTTATTTGAAGAAGTTTATTCTATAAATAACGTACTGCCTGAGAAAAATTCGTCACCAGAACAGATTAAAAAGGAAAAATTGTTTTTTATAATATTTTATGTATTAGGCATAGGATTCTCTATTTCAATAATCAGCTTTCTATTTGAATTATTAACAAGAAATTTTAGGCGTAGTAATAGGGTTTATACCTTGTATAGAGCTCAAAATAAAATCATTCATATTTTAAGTAAAAAATTTTAGAGACGAAAAAATAATTAAAAATCAACGTGGGAAAATTTAGAAAGAAATACTTATCTTTGTCAATTTTATCAACTCCTTGATAACAAAAAATTTCATTTTTTATTTAACTTTCGCATTTTCATTAATCAAAATAATTAGGTATATTTAAAATAATTCACACATTTTTAAATGAAAAAGTTAGAGAAAAAATCATTTATATTTCTTAATTAAAAAACAAATGATAGGTGAAACATAAAAATTGGTTAAAAGTACTTATGACATGTAACGAAAGAAAATTGTAAATAAATTTAACCTGCTTTTTGTATAAATCTTGTCAACATATACTACTTCTATTTTGCAGAATAAAAATATAAACTAAAAATTCATAAAAAATTTCATCCTTTTGTTTCTGAGTCAAGTAAACTAGTTCGAAAAAATGGAAGTAGATTCTGGAAATATTGAAAAAAAGGTTGAAAATTTCAGCAGAAATTTAAGAAACAGAAATAAACATTTTATTGATGAAAAAGCAGTAAAGCACAGAACGCGAAAAATAAAAATATTCTCAAGGTAGTTTTCAAACTTTCTATTTATAAAATTTGTGCAAAAACTGAAATAAATTAATTTTACTGTATTTATAAACAATTTATTCTTATCTATACATTTTCCCCCACCAAATGATAATAAATTTTATTTAACTTTAACAAATAAAAAAAATTAGACAAATGCAACATATTTTAATATTTCTTTAACAATTTTTTTATTCATTAGTATAAGTAAATAATTGTTATTTAATTAGAATTAGTTTTTTTATTTTCAAAAATATTATTAAAGTTTACTTTTTTTTGCAAATATTATAAACGATTATTTTTATTTTCACAAATATAATTAAAAATATTTTTTATTCTGACAAATATTATTAAAAACTACTTTCATTTTCATAAACATTATTAAAGAATTATTTGAAAAAAATGTTTCAAAAGTTTTAAATAACAAAAAAAGAAAAACAATTAGTTATAAAAATATTTATTTCAGCAGGAAATCAATTCGAAGGTACAAATCACTGGAACCACTAAAAAAGCACAATTCATTAAAAAAAGCTCAGACATCACTGACGTCAAAGTCGAGTACCAGTTTAGACAGTGTAATTTATTTAGGATTTTACAGAAAAATTCCCCAATTAATAACACTAGACGAAAGTAATGATTCCGTTAAAAATCCGAACGAAAATAAATTACATCCACCAATTACTGAGGAAACCACATCTGAACGAATTGACAATATTTCGTGCGTTCACTATTTTAAATCAGCTTTCAAAAAATAATCCAAATTCATTCATTTTCTTTATCAATTATTATTTCAGATCATCAAATGATACACAAAGTACAAATTTTTTATTGGAATTAGTGAATGACATGTGCGTTGATACAACAAATAAAAGAACAAAAAGAACCAGAATACGTCGAGGAAAAAATTAACGGAAAATTGAAAAAAATTTTATCATTTTTAATTAGCAGGAGAAATCTAAAATCGATCATTTTTAAACTGACAACAATAAATGTTAATTCTTGCAAATTATAAAGAAAAAATTACAATTTTTCCACTTTTTCTGGGTTTCTTTTTCGTAAAAGTTCAGTAAAATTCTTTTATTTTTATTTTTAGCGGTATATATGCAGTTGAAAAATAATTTGTACCCAGTTTCATGACACTCTCCACATCGGCTTTTCCAATTTTCTTCATCTTCTTTAGTTCCTTTCTAAGTTCTCTAGATAATTGTATATCACTTCGAATCAGGAGACTACTCAGCTTACTCTTATCATTTTCTGTCAAATTCGTCATTTTTATTCGAAGTCGTGGCATTTCTGATGGATGAATTCCTAACCATTTTGCAGATGGAGCAGCCCATTGCTTATGATTTTTTGATCCAAATCTAAATGTGAAAACAAATGAATAAACTATTTTTCTTTTAGTTTTAATATAAAATACTCTTTAGTGTAAATATTGGAAAATTATTTAAAAATTAAAAAAGCAAGTGTTTTTCAATTTTTTTTAACGAATAAATAGAAATTAATGTACCAACCGATAGGTACACATTATTTCAAAACCATGAGGATTATTATCGACTAAAATAAACGTTGGAATCTTTTCAATTTCCGATAAATGTTTCACTAGAATTCTCGTAGGAAGATCCGGTTCTCCTTTTCCGGTGATCATTATACATTTCTCACGTTCAAGAAGTCTCTCTTTGTTTCCAAGTAATTTTTGAAAAATTGTATCCTTCTCAACGACCACAATATATTTTGCACTAGTTTCAATTGAACTTAATTCATTCACCTCTTGTGGAATCAAATCACCTTGCGACGATTTATAAACAATTAATTTATCAAAAAATTTTAGAGTAATATCGCCGGCAATTAAACCTTTACTTGTTGCGGTAAAACCTAAAAAAATGATTTTAAAAATATTTTTATTTTTTGTCGCTATTGAAAATTAAATTTAGGATCAACTGGGGTAATTGAAAATAGAATTACAATTACCCGAATAAATCCTAAAGAAAAAAGATTTTTTCTATTAAAAAGTTTATTAAACTTTTTATTTTATTAAAAAATAGAGTTAATAAATAAGTTAAAAATTACCAATATCCCATCGGTTGCAGTTTAATAATTTCCGAGTATTCTCAATAGCATTATTAACCTTTTCCACTCGGAGGTCATCAAAATAGGGTTTGAGTTCGTAATAAAATGATCGTATATTAATTTTTTCGTTTGAACCAGAAAGAAGCATTTTATGTGCTCGTTGTAAGGTAGTTATGATTAAGGCAAAATTAATTCTACTTGTTTTACGTTTGAAATTTATTGACGTCAGAGATTTTTTACTGTCATTACTGTCAATCAATAGTTCATCACTATCATCAATACTATTCCAACTATCGTCTGTATTAATTTTTAGAACAGCACTTCCGTTTATTATTTGTTCCATCAATTGAAAGCAGATGTCTTCTATCTCAATGGCCCTAAAAGAATTATTATTATTATTTACTAAATGTTAGTTCTTATATTTTTTGTTTATTAATTTATTGATGGGACAAGATCTTTCGTGAAAATAGTACTTCTAAAGTATAATAATTACACAGGTCAGAATACAAAAAAGGAAATATGATCTAAATCTAGGTTGGTACTTTAAAAGTTAATGTTCAGCATAAGTCTATACGATAAAAAAGTAAATCTGATCTTATTATTAAAAAGAAAAAATTAATGTTCTTAAAAATTGAATTGCACAGCTAGGATGATAAAGAAGATCAATTTTTAGTTGAACAATTTTTTCATAAGCTATAAAAGCCTAAAGAATTCCGACAAAATTAAAATTTTTAATGTTTCATATATAATATATATAAAATTACAAATTTCATCTCTATAGCAACAATTCTATCAACAGTAACCGAAATAAATTCATTACTAATGTAAGTTGAGTAACTCAATATATTAGGGTATATGTTACGTTCTTTAGATAATATCCCAGTAAAAAAAAACTAATTCAAATGAATTGAAACGAATTAACATTTTTGGTAGGCTCCAATTCGTATTTGTCACAAAGCGGGATTCACTTAAGCTCTTTGTATATTCAATTGAATTTAATTCAATATGTACCAATTTGTCCAAACGAATTCGCATTCGAAAGAAATGGCCAAGGAATGCATTGAATTCGTGCTAACGAATTGAAAAAAATTAAAGGCTCAAAACTTGTCCAGTGAATTGGTACGGATAGAAGGTTCGGAAGTTCAATACAGTTTCACGAATTCGGGAAAATTGCATCATGGCTCCAATTCGTATTTGTCACAAAGCGGGATTCACGAAAGCTCTTTGTGAATTCTTTTTAATTCATTTCAATTTGTTTTCGTTTACTGGGATACTCATTATTTCCTAATAAAATGTGGACGTCCACATGAAAAGGGCCCATATTGTCGGTTCTAGTTTTCGAGATAATCGCAATTTAGTAATTTTGGAGCAAAATCTTAATTTTTTTTTATTTTTTATTATCAATCTACATGTTTTGACAAGTCGAATCAAGCGGTTTTTATTAATTTATCGATAATTTAACTGTTTGATTTCATTGGTTCTTTAGAAAAATGAAAAGGGCCCATTTTGTCGGTCATTTGCAAAAGTACCCAGTAAAAAAAAACTAATTCAAATGAATTGAAACGAATTAACATTTTTGGTAGGCTCCAATTCGTATTTGTCACAAAGCGGGATTCACTCAAGCTCTTTGTATATTCAATTGAATTTAATTCAATATGTACCAATTTGTCCAAACGAATTCGCATTCGAAAGAAATGGCCAAGGAATGCATTGAATTCGTGCTAACGAATTGAAAAAAATTAAAGGCTCAAAACTTGTCCAGTGAATTGGTACGGATAGAAGGTTCGGAAGTTCAATACAGTTTCACGAATTCAGGAAAATTGCATCATGGCTCCAATTCGTATTTGTCACAAAGCGGGATTCACGAAAGCTCTTTGTGAATTCTTTTTAATTCATTTCAATTAGTTTTCGTTTACTGGGTAATCCGTATTTTGAAAATGGAGGTGTGGAAAAATTTAAAACCTCTTGATTTTTCATCTTTAAAATACCCTGGACTGTAAACAATTCTTATCTGAATAACTTCCCAGAAGAACCAGAGATATTGATGTTAGAGTCTTTTTTTTCGTAATTGGCGAAATGAAAATTTGGATATTGCGTCAATTTTTTCATAATAGAGACTGTCAAAAAATTTTAAATAAGTTTAATATCTATTCTTTTTCTTCAAATTACACAATGAAATTGTACCTAATCATTAATCTTGTAAAAAAATGGTTTTTTAATAGAAAAACTGTCCTTTTTAGAAAAGGGCCCAAATTGTCGGTTTTTCGTATTTTCGAAATTAAGGAGAGGGGGTGTTTCTAAAAATTTAAAACCTGTTGGTTTTTTATCTTCAAGGTGCCCTGAACTGGAAACAATTCTTATCTGAATAACTTCCAAGAAGAACCAGAGATACAACAATTAGTTGGTATCGCAAACTTTAATTCCGTTTTTCTCGAAATGAGGTTTTTGGCGTTCTAAACTTTGAAATTCCGTAACTCAGCGAATTTTTAACCAAAAAAGTTCTAAGACCACTATCAAAATTTTCCAAATTTTTCCAGGAATATGCCCATATAGACAACTCCAATAGTGCTAAAATGGGCCCTTTTCATGTGGACGTCCACAAATAGATTTATAACAATATAACAAGTTTTAATATTATTATAATGTTTTCTTCAGCCTAACAAGGTGGTTGTCAATGATGAAGTTTATTGGAATATATTTTGTATTTTATGGAAGGAAATTCTTCCAAAAAGTTCAAAAATCAGTCTAGAAAAACCTGCAACAACAGATTACTTTAAAGGGCTGGTAAATTATTTGAAAAACGAATCTAAACTGTATCTGATTGTGTTTATTCTTGAAAATAAAAACGATAACACGGACTCAATGAAGAATTCTCTAATAAGAGAAGTCAATCAATATTTTTCATCTTTAAAACTCAAGTATCATGAAATGAAAGATTTGTTTCAGGGTAACGTTTATTTTAAAGAAACATATGGTGATTTTTGACACATTTTTATTAATACATTCTTAGGCTGGAGTCCCATGATAGCGTTTATTGCGTTGCGTTTTGTAACTAGGCAATGAGTGTGAGAGAGATAGAGATATATGTTTGCTCTTTTTGCACTCATGGCCTAGTTACAAAACGCAACGCAAAACGCTACCATGGGACTCCAGCCTTATAGGGGAGAGTGGGGCAAAGGCGCTATGCGGGGCAAAGACGTTTTTTTAAATATCTCCTTTATTTTCTGTCTATTCCAATTGGTATTAAAAATTAAGTTGCAATGCAATCAGACCAATTGATTAAAAAAAGAAAAACCTAAAAATATCAAATATTTTAAGAAATATAACAAAAAAATTGTTTTGCAAAAATAAAATGATAATTTTACTGAACAAACCTTTATTTTTTAAAACATAAGTTTAAGTATTTAATTTTTAAAAACGTAACATGTAAATAAATTAAATATTTCTCTACACAACTGGCGTGGTGTTTTAGTTTAATTTTGAATCTAAATTTTAAAATTAAAGTAAAAAAAAGTTTGTTATGTGGGGCAAAGGCAATATTGAACATAATTTGGTTAAAAACAATTGAATATTCGAATTTTCTATGTATTAATTCACAATATAAGGTTAAAATCACTAAAAGTTTTTATTTTTTATTTAAATAGTTTAATTCTTTTAATAATATGTTGTTAACCTTATGTTTCGTAAATATTATACTAATAAATATCAGTTGTTAATTTTTTTAAGGCTTATAAATGCTTTCTTTTAGAAATATAAGCAAAAACGTCGCTGCCCCAGCGTGTGGGGCAAAGGCATTTTTTGCATTGTTTTTAAATTTCATTAAATACTGTATTTATAATATACTAAATAACAACTATTAAATTTTCTTGTTGATTAGTTTTAGAATAATGAAAAACAAAGACAGCATTAATTAATTGCTTAATTTAAAAAATATACATCGATAAATGTAAACCTAGCGCCTTTGCCCCACTCTCCCCTACATTAAACCTTCTGGCATGATAAGCGATCTTAAAAGTTTTTTGACAAAACTACTATAACATTCCTAGATTAATAATCAATAACGTCCTTGTATGAAAACATCTTGAAAGTGTTCCTTAAATTTAATTTTTCTGGATCGATTCCGAAGTGTAAAAATAGAAGATTATAACTTTAAATGCGTAATTGTAATTCTACAAAAAACTTCTAAAATTATAATCATGTGTACTTCACTAGATAATCTTATGTAGTTTATGAAAAAACTTTTTGTTTGATTCAAAAAGCCGATACAAGGCACTTCTGCTGCTCACCGCGGAGGTCTACAAAAAAACTTGTTTAATCAAATAGTATATTACTTGTAAACAATAATTTGAAACTGCGCTCACAAGAAAATTTGTGAATGTTGCGACTAATATTAAGTTATAATTTGTATATGTACTGACATATGTTAGGTCTAGAATATAATATATTAGAATATTTTATAAATAAAATGTGATTAGAAACTGATAAAAATGTTTTTTATTACGAAACCAATAAGTGTAATTTCATGACCATTTTCTATTTTCTAAGTGAATGTAGATGAAAAATACTTTTCTCTAGTTCCATAAAAATACATTTAATGCTATCATATAACGTGAGTTTTGACAACAGTAGTTGACATAAAATTCTTATAAAATTTATATTGATGGGTAATTTTGGTAGCGTGAAAAATATATTAAAAGCATGAAAAAATTTAATAAAATAAAAATTACTAATTTTCGATAATAGCAATTGCTAAGTAGATGTATTTGACGAAAATAAAATTTCATCACTATAGCAACAACTTTAACAATAATAACAGAAATAACTTGGTTATTAAGTTAAGTAACTCACAATATATACAATGTGTTAGTATACTTTACGTTCTTCACATAATATTAAAAATGTGTCCAAATACAATAAGGATATAAGCAATCAAATATTATTAATACATATACATGTTTCAATATTGTCACAGTATTTTTGTCAGCCTAACAAGGTGGTTGTCAACGATGAAGTTTATTGAAATATATATTGTTAGTTGCATTTTGTGGATAGAAATTCTTGCAAAACATTCAACAATATGTCTGGAAAAGCCAATAGAAACTAATTACTTTGATGGGCTTGTAAATTATCTGAAAAACGAATCGAAACTATATCGAGTTGTGTTTATTCTTGTAGACAAATTCGACAACAAGAATGATCCAATGATGAATTCTCTAATAAAAAAAGTTAATCAACATTTTCCATCATTGAGTCTCAACTATAATGAAATTGAATATTGGTTATTGGGGCACAGTTTATTTTAAAGAAACCTATTGTGGTTTTTGACATTTATTTTAATTCAATACAATTAGCTATAATTAGCATCTTAGAAATTTCT